TTGTTATGATCTGGCCTTAGATTAAGAATAATTTAAGAGCACTATTGAAATAGTATCTGAATTGAATAAAATGTGTTGGTATGAACTGAACAATACCAAAACTGTGAATGTCTTAAATGAACATTGTGTGCATGATATCAAATGATTTGATTATGAATTTAGATTCAGTTTATATGGATGTTCGACGCATTAGATATGCTTACTCAGCTTTATCGCTGAGCGTGTAGTGTGTTTTATTTGCTACACGCAGGTACAACAGAAAGAACACTGTGATCCTGGCAGCAGATGGGGCGAGATTGTCGGGATGGATGTGACAAGTTTGAAATGATTTATGATATGTCAAAATTAAATTCGCTTCCGCAATATTGTTGAATACTCCGTACTGTATATGTTATGAAAAATTATTGGGATTAATAAAGTGTTTTTGAAAAGTTTTAAATTTTTACGATTACTAAGTTAATACTTTAGTCCGGAAGGGGCTGCAGACCTGGACGGATTAGGGTGTTACAACTCCCATCTGTTACACATCATTTTTGGGTATAAATAGGGGTCTTTTGGGTCTACTTTTAACAACCATTCCTCACACATTTCATAGCTTTACATTGCATCATTCCATAAACTTTTTACATAGTTTTTTAGAGCCATTTCTTGAGGAATTGAGTGTGTTCTTGATCTAAATTAGTTTACTCATATTCTACTCTTTAAGATAGTTTTTGTTCTTGAGTGGTTAAGTGTTGTGAACACTTTAAGGGAGGTTTGTTCCCTTGGTTGTACGAAGGAAGGGCATATTCTTTCGGGTTGAAGTCTTGGAGTGCGGTATCTCCGAGCAAGTGTATTGAGGCTCGTGGGACTCGAGTTCTCAGGTTGTAACGGTTTGTTAAGCACCCGTAAGCTTAACGGAAGTAGTATAGCTCGAGAGAGTCTCTTGGGAGGCTGGACTAGCCACACGTTATGGTGAACCAGGGTAAAATTGGTGTGTTCTTTCCTTACGCTTTTTTATTCCGCTCTTTACTTTATCTCTACGATTTTTATTCCGTGAAAATTTATAAACATTCTCGTGCCTCACTATTCACCCCTCCTCTAGTGAAGGGTACTTATTCTAACATAATTAATCATCTTTTTTGCAGCTATTCCTTTACTTTGCAGGTTGTGAAGGAGATCCGAGAGTTATACCAGTGGCATATCATAGGGACTACGATCCATGAAGTCAGATGTAACATCATAGCTACAGGTACGAGGTCAACGAAATGGAGGGAGACAACGATTTGGTGAACGATAATCTACTACATCTAAAGGGCTAGAAACATCATAGAACATGGTAAAAGAACTAATATTGGCCAAGTAGTTGATCATGTTGTGTTCTTATTCGGAAGGTACCTGTCATATAAAGAAAAGTAAAGGCGCTGAGTGTTGTATGTAATTTGTTGTATGCCTGTAACACTTTGGTTGATAGTGGTTTAATGTTAGAGGATTTCATGTTAAAAAAATAGATTTTGGATATGTTAAATTACTTTTTAAAAAATTAATTACTTTTAAAAAGTCAAGGGCAATCTTTGTTGCATGTTGGGTTGTTACTCAAGAAGTAAGTATTCAGTCATGGCAGCTTTGTAACACCCTCCGTCCCGCAAACCCAGTTAACTGCGGCCCAACGAGCCGGAGAGGTTACGTAGACGGTTTTAAGGCCGTCTACAAGGAAAACCCTTGCGTTTCTTGTAACGGAAACCCTTGATATATTTTATTAAATGATGGAAATTAATTCAATTAAAGAGAAAGTCTCGTAACGGAAATAAATGTAAACGTCAAATGATAAGTCATGAATGAAGAAAGTGCAACAACAGTGGGTTCAAGCCCAAAACGTTTTTCATAATTAAATAGGTAACTAATCGGCTCCGCACTATCATTCATCCGCCGCTCCGATCACCCAGTCGTTCGGGTCAGGCTCCATGATCCTCTTGCCTACCTGCGTATAGCAAAGGAAAACAACGTTATACCCTCAGCAAAAGCTGAGTGGTAATCTAACAGTAGAACACATAGTACATTCACATTGATATAAGCATAATTGTACCTGTACTAAAGTACGAGACACTGTTGGAACACACTTTGTACGATAAACTAAAATCGTGTTCATTTCTGACAGGTTTTGATAATTGCCAAACCGCCGTGGATATAAAGTGTTTCGTTGAATAACTCAAGGCGTGAAGAATGGCTTGGAACAAGACCTAAAATACTCAAGGACAATATCAAGAATTGAAGACTTAGTCGAGTCGGTCTTTTGTGATCAAAACTGACAATAAATTCAAGTCTCGGTTCTCAAAAAGTCAAAACAATTTTTACAAATCATAAACTATTTTTTTGTGCATCAAAACAAACATTTTTTGATGATTTCTTTTATTGATAAAATCCCTGGTCCTTGCTCAGAACCGAAACCACCTAAGTCGGCAATCGACTTTCGGCGTTCGGTTTTTGGCGGCCGAACCAACTCCGTGGTTTTCAATATTTTAAACCCTGTTTTTTACCTCTGAGCATTTTTAAAATGATCCCAAATAATTATTTTATAAAAACCACTTTTGTATCTTGATCAATCGGTCTAACATGTGAAAAACGGTCAAAACCGTACGCACGTATTATACGACCTTGGAGACTTGGTTTTTACCAAAAAAGTCTTGTTTTCACTATTTTATACCATATACAATATTTTCCAAACCTGGTTTTTACTTTTGGGAACACTTCGTTTTTGGACCTCGGTTTTTCAAAACGGGTTTCAGCTGGCTAGACTTTAGCTGGGTGATAATCGATTATCACCTTAGTGACAATCGACTATCAGCCCCTGCAGCTTTGAACTTCCAAAGTTCTAAAGTACGCAATAATCGATTATCAGATATACAATAATCGATTATCAGCCTTTGCAGCCAAAACCCAGAATCTTCTGAGAGGACCAATAATCGATTATCACTTGTTGACAATCGATTATCTGGGTTACCGTTGTCCTCCAACGGATAGAATTTTAAATTTTTGGACAGGGAATCTTTGGACAATCGATTATCAAGCTTTGATAATCGACTATCAACCTGTGTCCCTGAAAAATTTGTCTTCATCCTGTTGGAAATTCTAGCAACGGGTTTATCCCATTTTGGGCTATAAAATGGCACCCAAATCCTCTCATTTCAAACACAATTCTTCAACATTTCAATACTCTTTCATTGCATAAGCATTCCTATTTTTTCTTAGCTATTTGAGAGCCAATTCTTGAAGAAATTGTCGTGTTTTTGAGCGTTTACTAGTTCACTCATATCTACTCTTTGTGAGAGTTTTATTCCTGAGTGTTTAAGTGTTTTCATACACTTTAAGGGAGGTTGTTCCCTTGTTGTAAACTCGAAGGAAGTTCCTTGTTCCTTCGTGAGAAGTCTTGGAGTGCGGTATCTCCGAGCAAAGGTGTTGAGGCTCGTGTGACTCGGGTTCTCAAGTTGTATCGGTTTGTTAAGCACCCTTAAGCTTAACGGAGTTAGTGTAGCTCGAGAGAGTCTCTCGGGGGGCTGGATTAGCCACACGTTGTGGTGAACCAGGATAAAAT